TTCCATTCATTATGAAAGTGGGTGAAAAGAAATAACGGGTCTCGAATTTTGAAAAATGAGTAGTTAGTTCATATCGTTTCGGAGTTCTTCCCCCACCACTTGACCTTGTAACGACCGTGGACCATGTCACATGACCTTGACGATGACAACTTTCAACCTGAACATATTATAAGATGCATATGATTTTTTGTTCAAACAACCCAAACTATCGGTATAAGAAAGAGAAGAAACCATTATTTTGGTATGATTTGCTATTTCTTGGGCATTTGGATTGTTTTTTCTTCAGCATTCTCCGGAATATTCAAGTTAATAATGAATTGTGAGAAGTGTTCTAGATAAGTCAGAAATTCTTAGATATATGATGGAAATGGCCGACTTTTGATGGGAATCCATAACTTTAGGCGTATCTTTACATAAAGACATGCCCGAAAATGCCATTGTATGGCGAAACACGTGCTGCGTTTTTGCAAAGCTGTCTAGTGAATATCTCACAATAAAGTGTTTTTTGAAATACTTAGATTTTACTCAGAAACAATTTAATTGTGAATATTAATGAATTGAATTGAAAATTATTTGTTCTCACTCCAAATGTAAAATTACAATTAAAAAATTGTGAATTACAATTTTGAGTGGAAATGAATTTGTTTGTTTGAGTTGAAAAAAGTTGAATCTTATCACCGAAACGTTGCTTAGTAAATTGGTTTGGACTCGACCACAACTGAGGGAGTAATTGGTTCACAAATTCTACCTGGTAGATAAGTAGCTCTTACTCTCTCCTTCATATTTTCCAGTGTGGTTGGAGGAGTGTCGTACACCTCATTTTTCAAGTATCCGCATAGCAAAAAATCAAGGCAAGTCAAATCTGTTGATCTCGCTGGCCAATTTTGTGGTCCTCCCCTACCAATCCATTTATTCGGAAAGCACATAATCAAAAACTATCTGACGCTGAATTTGAAATGTGCCGGAGCTCCATCTAATTGTAACCACAACTTTGTGTGGCAGTTACTTCTTTGATGACCTATATATTTATGTATAGAGTTAATTCTTTTGAAATTGATTGCTTGATTGAAAGCCAAAAACTCTCTATCACATAAAATCATTTACTCCTAAAAGTAAAACTCCTTGAATTTAAACAAGATTTTTTTTGGCTGGGATTTAATCAAATAAGCGAATGCTTGTCATTACGATTTCATCGATGACATATATTGATCAAATTCATTCTGTGACAGAAAATTGTAATTAAGGAATGAATTATGTGTTTTTTCTCATAATGTTATTCAACTTCGTACTGAAGAGCCCTAAGGCAAGTGTCTAAAGGCAAAACATCGATGTCTACCATTGAGGATGACAGTGTTTCATGTGAGTGAAATTTTTACCTTCTATTTAGTATATGGTGTAGAAATCCTGTGAATGATATTTGAGTCAGTTCCATAACGAATGTTTGGAATATGAACTGAGTAGAGAAAATTGCTTTTTGGGTGATTCAGTCGTTGTTCAATAAAAAAAAACTTCGATTTTTGAACTATTCAAATTATAGTCCATTCACATTCATCTGGGGGCCAGATAATTCCAACATACAAAACAAAGCTTTCAACCTCTGCTCTTAAACTTTCATCCAGAAAACCAACAAAACACTGGATTAAAATTCACCGTAATCACTCTCAACTTAAATCGTGCAAATTCAGAGCGATGAATCACAACTTCAGAGCGACTGGATTGAACGTATATAGAGTCCACGCCTGCTGTACTTGATTTCCGATATTAAAAAGGATAATTAATGTGGGAATTACTCACATGAGAGTATTCATCTGAGTGGGAATATTCAACGTCCGCTACCATTTATAAATCTACTGATAGAACTTCAGTTTTTTTGTGTTTACCACAAAACTGATCTCCTACAACGAGCAATTGAATTCATAATATCGTGGAATGAAATCCGGAATACTATTTTTTTTTTCGTGAAAAACCCTATTCTCCGTTTCAGTCATTTTATTTGATAGATATTTATGAAGGTTTGTTGGATACCAGGATCGATTCATCCCAGAAAAACAATTTTTTTCTTGCCAACGTTTCGAATTTAATGAAATACTTTTCCAGAGCCCTAGAAGGAACTTTTACATGTTGAAATAATATTGAAATTTGAAAATCATCAGACGTATTAGTTATATGTGAGAAAAAAAACACTGAAGCAATATAGGATAAAAAAATTTACTCTTGTCTGATTTTCAATTGTTATGACCGTTTTCGGTTTATTCATGCATTAACTTTCTTGTTCTTACTATGAAATATTGATCTCTTCCAACTGCTCACACAGTAGGGTCAGGTAAATATCTGTTGGAAAACAACTACTTCCCCGGCTAATATCACGCTGAATATTGAATTATATTCGCGGTTTCGAGGTATTGCCTCTCGTCAGTACAGGAAAGATCCCACCCAGACAGTAAAGAGTTTTAATATATGGGATGTTTCTTCTCTGTTTGGGGCTTTGTTCATTAGATGGAGTTGTTACTAGTTAACAATCTTACTCTCAGACCAAGATTTCATATATGTAGCGAAGCCGTGTTTAGAGGTACATGTTTCCGGTTTTTAATTGATTTGTTAATTTCTATGGCCTCTAAATCAACTAAAAATCAGAAACATATACCCCTAAACGAGCAACTTGATTTACGTAGGTCACCTCTCTTGAATTTATGAGTTTAACAACCCCTAGAATTTTCAGGGTGGTATTTTATGTTGGCATCCTGTCTTTCAAATACCTGTCTTTGCAGCATACCTGAAAATTCTAATGAAATCGATATTTCAAATTTCAGATTTCAGTTTTACACTTGATAATGGAGTCAAACCCAAAACCGGTCGTATAAATGAAATTCACCAGTAGTACTCAGACGAATATTTTTATTCATTTCATTTAAGTGATCACCATAAAGTAAACATCAATCACACATATAAAAAAATACTCTCTACTGTTTTTCTCATAAGACAATACAAAATTTGGCGGGTCAGCAACAAATGAACACCAGTTCTCAAGAATTCGAAATGATTTGGGTATTCAAATATGAATCCAAAATTTATTTGAAGGTGGTTGATTATGCTTCGTGGTGTATTCCATCAGTTCGGACTTCCATTGTCTAATATAATATAAATTGATTTAAAATCCCTGAAAAAAATAAATAAATAGGATTAAACGAAAATATCAATTTTATTAAACAAAAAAACTGAAATTACTAAAAAATAACATACAATCAACAACAACAAATCATTGAAAGCTTGAAATTTAAAAACATTATTAACAAAAATTGAAAAAATAATGAAAATTAAAAGATTTCAAACCAAGTTACGTCACACCGTTTCGATTGTTAGTATCCACAATGGTCTTTGGGGGGATAACTGGACTTATTCCTCCGAGATCCGACTATTTATAGGTCATTTGAGCGCTCTCACCTATCCCCTCTTCCCTCTCTCCGCTTCATTGGTTTTAGCGGGAAATGGGAGATTTCCATATGTTACGTATCTCTACGCTAGCTTGACTAAATGCATTGTTGGACAACATATACGCGGCTTCTTTGAATTTTCTCCTGAACCAGTGTTCCTCTTTGTGGATGATTTCAGCTTGAGCCCACTTGATATTATGTTGATGACTTCAAATATGCTCTGTTATTCCGGATTTGCTGATTTCTCCTCGCTGTGTGTGTTCTACCATCACTCAGGAGTAACCATTCCGTTGAAGGTCATTTTTGATGATGCCTAGTTCCTTTTCGAGACCTTCCTTTGCATAACAGAGCCCGAAGGCACAGTCTAGTAGAGTCTTGATAATTCCTCTCTTAGTCGATTGACAATGGTTAGATTTCTGGTTCAGGAACTGTCCTGTATGAGTGGGTTTCCGATTTACAGATGTTTCCCTTTCAGTGTCGGTCCTCTTCACCAATATGTCTAAGAAAGGCAATTCGTTGTGGACTTCCTTCTCTATTGTGAAAGTGATGGAAAGTCTCACACTGTTGATGTGTTTCAGGAAGGCGTCTAGTTCAGTATTCCCATGGTTCCATATTATGAAGGTGTCGTCAACATATCTCAACCAGACTCGCGGTTTCTTGTGGGCTTCTTCAATGGCTAGAGTTTCAAACCACTCCATATATATGTTGGCTATGACTGGTGAAAGTGGCGAACCCATTGGCAGTTCCTCATCTTGTGTGAAAAATTCGTCCTTCAGTTGGAAGTAGCAGTTTCGTTCACAGCATCCTAGTAATTCCATGATCACTTGTATCGATAGGTTTGTTCTATCTTTCAGGTCCCTATTTTCGGATAGCTTCTTCTGTATGATTTGAAGTGCTTCTTCAACATGAACGTTGGTGTAGAGGCTTTCCACGTCGAAACTGATCAGTTGATTCTGCTCTTTGACTTCTATTTACCCTAGTAGTTCAACGAAATGCCTTGAATTTTTCACAAAAAAAGATGTTTTACCTTGCAATGGTTCGATTATTGGTAGTAAAAATCTAGACAAGTTCTGAGTGGCTGAATCTCTGGAACTAATGATCGGTCTGAGCGGAACATCCTTTTTGTGGATTTTGGGTAGTCCATACAAGTAAGGGGGCTTACTATGTTGCGGTGTTAGCAATGATCTTTTTTTTTCTGAAAAATAGATTTGGTGTTTTTTCAAGTCTGGTACAAGTTCCTTTCAATTAATGCAGTAGAGTTTCATACGATCTTCGTGTATTTTCCTTTCTGAAGCACCTCTTCGATCTTCTGTTCGTAGAGATCAGTATCCATGACGTAACTTGTTTGTGATCTTCCAATTTTCATTATTTTTTTCATTATTTATTGATAATATTTTTTAATTTTCAGCTTTTATTATAATTTCAATTTTTTATTTTTTTGGTTGTTGCTTGTATGTTATTTCTTTGTAATTTCAGTTTTTTTGTTTAATAAAATTGTTATTTTCGGTTAATGGAAGTCTGAACTGATGAAATTTGAATCTAAAATAATCATATACCTCTTATTTCCAGGTTGACTGGAGTGAACAGTTCGTTTTCAACGTACACGCTCGCAGTATATTTCCCTGCGACGTCCTCAATGGAGGCATCACCGTCCTCTTTCAATACCCTTCCTGCATTTTAGCCACAGGAGACAGAGTGAGACTTTTCGCTAGGCTGAGAGCCAACGTGGCCAGTTTAGCACCACCAACTTCTCTGGAGTACGTTGCAGAACAGCGAGTTATCAGAGGGCAGCACAGTCTTCACTTTGATTGCGATCTCTTCACTGAAAGATACGTCGAATATTGTTTCGTGTACGTCAGTCAGTCCATTTCTGGAGCGGTGGCTGATGTTAGGATGGATTGTGTGCCGACCTTGCCAGTTTCAGGTGAGTTTAGTAACCTGAGGAGACGCAAACTTTTTTGACGTATTCAAAAAACACACTTCAATGTGAGATTACCACTGGAAAGTTCACCCAGCAACAAAGTATAAGTTGGACAATTTTGATGTGGAATATGATATTTGGGCCACTATTTGGAAAAATCGAACAGTGTATGTTCTGTGAAAATGGTTTGAATTTTTACTAGTTTTTTGGTGAAAAATTTATATTTCTCTCTGTATGCATGCCCATCATAACTATCAGTATGATCGAACGACAAGTAATGATTGACTGAATTAATTAATGCTGAACAATTAGGTAATACAAATCTGTAAGTAGTACTAGTACTCTTTATGGGACTATTATTTTTATTAAGAATGAAATTTTCTGACAAATGGATAATGAAAAAGTTTTTCATATGTTGCAAACTTTTTGAAACTTACTATTGCAATATCTGTGTCTTGCAGTTTTATCGAAAAAACTTTTTTTTCATTATAATAATAATAATGTTTATTCACAGATATATCATTATATACATTTGATAGAGAATTTAGTTGAACACACAGGCAATATCACAAAAGTCACAGAAGTGACTTGTGCGTGATAACATTAATATGACAGATAATAACAATATGAATAATAACACATAAATAAGAATAATAATTGAAATATTACATTTTTACAATGGCATGTTGAAATATCTCAATTATAAAAAAGACAGTATTGAAATATCAATCAGTCAGTTTTTAATAATCAAATTTGATGGAGAAGGTGTAATCAGAACCAAACTGAAACTTTCCCAAATGAATCAACAGTCGAACAGAACGAATGAAACTGGGGTACCTACATAGAAAATATCCTATATATTTGTGTACTAATTTTGCTGTAAAATGTTATTTTTCAATTTTTTCAATCATTTGGTGAATCGCTCTCCGGTTCCTCTGATATACATATGTTTTCAATTCTCTTTTGAATTTCGATATCGATTGTTGAATTTTCATTTCATCAGGAAGAGTGTTGAAAGCCCTTGGACCCAAAATTGATGACTTTTCTAGCCTACTGACTTGCTCATTAGGGTTTGGACAAATTTGTTTTTTCCTCTGGTAAGATACGTATGATCCAGATTGAGGTCAATTTTTTTTTGGAATACTGCAATATTCAGCTTTTCAAAATAAATTTGTCTCAGATCAAACATTTTTGTATCTTTATATACTTGATCACTGGAGTATCGATTATCAGGGATACTTCCAATCCATCAAGGTGTGTTTTTGACACCCCGGCCCATCCGAGAATACCGTATTTCAAGTGTGGTTCGGTAAGACTTTTGTACAAAATGATTTTTTGATCTTGGTCCGAATACTCCGTCACATACTTGAATCTATATAAAATGCATCGCAATTTTTTCAATAGATAGCTAATATGCTGATCCCAGCGGAGATGTGAATCTATGATGATTCCTAAATATTTAATTTTTTCTTTTGGTTTTATTGTACATTTTGTTAAAGTAATATCAAACGTAGGAAGAAATGCATCTTGACAGTTAAATGGTAGGTAGTGTGTTATTTGGCATTTATTGATAAGAGGTTATAGTCGAACCATATTTTCAATTTATTGAGGTCTGTTTGAATTTCATTTCTCAGGTCATATCAGTTGTTATCTGCATAAAAAAGGACAGTATCATCAGCAACGCTTGTGATTTTTCCATTTTTTTCCACGCATAGTAGGTAGTTGAGGTATATTGTGAATAATATTGGTCCCAGTACCGTTCCTTGGGGTACTCCACATGTAATGGATTTTTTCCGACTCGTTTTCCCTTTGAATTTCAATATTTGCCCTCGGTCTGTTAGATAATTCTTTAATAATTCATATGATGAACCTCTTATACTTATGTCCTCAAGTTTTCGTAGAAGAATGGAATGGTCAACGGTATCGAAAGCCTTCGTGAGATCTATAAATACTGCTATTGATGGAATATCTTTATCCAATGCATTGTATATGTCTCCAGTTAAGACCTGAATTGCATCCTGGGTAGATTTTCTCTCCCTAAACCCGTATTGTGTTGTTGAAAGTAATCCATATTTGTTAATGAATTTGCTCAATCTAGTTTTCAAAATTATTTTCAGTATTTCGGTTTGAGATTAAGGAAATAGGTCTATAGTTACTGATATCAGTTTTATCTCCGCTTTCATAAATAGGTGTGACTACCGACAGCTTAAAGGCAGAGGGAAATTCACCTGTTTCCAGAGATTTATTATATAGTCTGATATGACTTTTAATGTTTCTTCCTTCAAAAACCGTCGATTCCCGGAACCTTTTTATTTTTCAGTTCAGATACAACATTTTTCATTTGCGTGCATCAGTCGGATTAAAAAAAAAGTTTTCCCATGAATTATTTTATGTTCTACATAATTTAAGGGCTTCTCAATTTGTTTTGCTAAGTTTTTGCCGATATTAATGAGAAAATCATAGAAATTCTCTGCGATTTCAGAAGGTTTGTTTATCATTCTGCCGTTTTGATCTCTAATGGTGTTTGTTTCTTCACTCTTCTGGATATTCACCATACTGTTTCGATACTCATTGTACGTGACCTCATTCACTTTTATCGAATATGTCCGATATATCGTTCGGAGAGCTCTCGATTCACAACATACACTGCTTGCTTCTTGTCGGGTAATATCAAAGAAACTTGTCAACCGTATTGGCTCGACTGCTGACATTGAGAATTTCGATAACACTTCTGGGTCTTGCTCGATTTTCTTATCTTCGAATTGCAGGCCAGTGATCTTTTTACATCAAACCAGATGCTGGGGTGATGTTAGTCTCGTATATAGGTCGTATAAAAACCAGGAGGATTCATTTATAACAATGAATGCCAGATGAGTTGATTTTGGCTGATATTTTCAATATCCACTTAGGCTTTGTTTGCATTCGATTCGGAAGTTTGCATTCGATTTGGAATAACTTCTAGCAAATTTTTGAGAAATTTCAAGAGAGTCTCGGAAAAATTGCAAAAGTTATAAAAAAATCAGTAAAAAACGGGGGGTTTGAATTTTTGCAAATGTCTCGGAAAATATTAAAGATATCTGAAATTTCAAAAAAGATCCCTAAAGAAGAGGGAATTTCTTCTAGGCACTTGTATCAATAAAAATCCCTGGATTTTTTTTTCTGTTATCATTTTATTAGATATACTATAGTTGATCAACAAATTTTCATAAGTTTTGAATTAACATATGAAACATGGTGATTTTTAAACTAAAAGCCTCAAACATTTTTTCACTTTTTGGAGCTCTTCTTGAAAGGATTCAAAAAAGGTCCCTGTTGAAAAATAAGTTTCACCTTGTTATTAATAATTATAAACGTTAAAAAGTGAAAAATTCAACTGAAGCAATGATTTTTTTTCTAATATTCGTATTTATTCGTATTTTTATCATTATAAGTTACATTAAAATGATTCTTCATAATTCATAGTATTATTAAGAGAATATGAATAAATTTTTTTTTTCGGAATATAAAAGAGAAATAAAATTGAAAAGAAATCGTTCCCTAATATTCATTTTCAGTAGGAAAAAAAATTGTTACTCAGCAAATGCGTCTTCAAGCAATAAAACAATTTTTTAAAAAACGATTTCGTTTTTAAATCATAATATTCATCACTGATAAGAATCCCCTCAACAACATTTCAAATATCTTATAAACAATGCATTTGTTTATAACAATTTTTTAAACAAATAGAGCTGAAAATTATGAAAAATCTTTTTAATGCTCTTCTAATAGTGATAATACGAATACATTTTGAGATTAATTTTTTTTATGGTTTGATTGAATTTTTCACTTTTCAACGTCTTTGATTATTAATAATAAAGAGGAAAAAATTTTTTTTTTTATTTTTCCAACATGAATTTTTCTTGAAGGCTTTCAAGAAAAGCTTCAAAAAGTGAACAGAATTTGAGGTTTTCAGTTTAAAAATTATCAGGGTTTTTTATGTAAATTCAAAACTTGTAAAAATTACTTAAATAACTAAAGTATGTTCGATAAAATAACCCCTTTTTTTAACAAATTGTTTCACTTTTGCTATTTTTTCGAGCCCCTCTTGAAATTATTCAAAAAGTTGATTGAGGTCATTTCGAATCGAGTGAGCTCTGGATCATAATTTTCGGTGCCCTTGGACAGAAGTTCAAAAAAAAAATTTTGTGAATCAGACTAATTCTTCATAGTGAAGAGCATTCAGGGTGTTTTGTAATGTTATGCTTCGTCATGTTCTGGAAAGTTATTTATGGATGCATTTTGGAAAAAAAAAATCCTCAAGGCCTCAACTTTCGAACTACAGTGTGCAGAAATTTCAAAAAAGGAATATTTTCTTTGTGATAGCTTTGATGTGTACCTCGATTTTTTTGTGGAACCTATCACTCCTTTACTGTGCATCAAATCACATTTTATGCTGTAATACACAATTTTTCATTTAATAGACGTCATTTATTGTGAAGGATTGTTTTGATGACAAAACACAAGCACTTCAAGGTGCTCTAAGAGCGGTGCCTGTGCGAAATTAGCGACTCTTGGAGATATAATTGATTTAGAAGTTCTCCAGTTCTTCAGTTCTCTAAATGAAGGAGTTGTTAAACAGTGGAGTTCGAGGTGCACTGAGTGTAACCTCAAAACGATGAGCAGCCACAGTTTGTCGCGTACCTCTGATAATTGATGCTCTTGGTTGAATCAAATGTACCTAGTCACTACTTGAATACTTTACGTGAAAGTATGTGTGGATGGGAGACAAATCTCCAACCAACCTTCGATGTTCCAAACTATCAAGGTTGCAAGTAATGTACGAGTCTTCAATCAGGCGACTGGCTCTTTTCTGGATGGAATTCAGTAGCTTCAGGGTATGCTTAGAGGCGAAGCTCCATACATGAGACCAATACTCCAAATAAGGTCTGATCTGAGCTTTATAAAGCATCAAAAGAGAAGGTTGAGAAGCAGATTTTGTAATTCCAGTGTTATAATTGTGCCAATACATATTGATGTCCGTTTTACCCTTCAACAAACTTATCGAAGCAGAAAACGGAATTATCTGTCATGGCATTATTATATTAGGTTCGAAGATATTTACCTTTTTGGAAAAAACATTAATGAGGATTTCACCACCTGTATGAAGTTCTCTATCACAACTTTGACTTTTCGCAGTTCATGAAAGGTGGAAATGCTCTGGAGGGTCATTTAAAATATGATATTTCATTTTCTTGCCAGTGGCGTCAATGCGGAATTAGCACTGAACCTCAGTACTTTTGTGTGAAGTGAAAATTATTTTTTGAAATCCTCATTCGTTTCTGTGGCAATATCGGCCTCTGAAGTTTTGCGTAGAAAATAAAGTTCATTCAGATAATTGACTGGTTTAATCATCAATTATTAACAAGAAACTTTGAAAAACCAAAATTTCTGATTTTTTCAGCTTACAGAAATCATTCACCAAATTTCAACACCCTCAATATACATAACAACGAATCGGTTATTGATATTTACAGAACAGATACCATTAAATATTTAGGAGTAACAATGTATAGTTATATGAGATGGGATGTTCATATTGAGAAAGTTACAAAAACCTTAAGAAGTATGCTGTTCAAATTCAAATAGTTAAGTAAATTACTTGACACTCACCACTTGAAGATCATTCATTTTGCCCTAGTGGAATCTCGTATTCAATATGCCATATTAAGTTGGAGTGGGGTCGCTGCTATTCACCTGAAAAAGTTAGAAAGAGCACTGAAACGAATTCTGAAAATTATGTATGGAAAAGTACCAACCTTCTCTAGCAATTTACTCTTTTCACAAGCAAGAATATGCGATGTAAGACAAACATTTTTCAGAAACATATTTACGCATATACACAAAAATAAATATCTATTAAATAATACCGACCACGAATATTTTACTACTAAAAAAAAAGAATATCACGTTAAAACGTCTCTGAGCAGCACAAAAATCGGACAACGAAATATAACTTACCTCTTTTTATGAAGGTGGTTGACAAAGTTTCGTGGTGTATTTCATCAGTTCAGACTTCCATTGTCTGATATAATATAAATTTATTTGAAATCCCTGAAAAAAATAACAATTTTATTAAAACAAAACACTGAAATTACAAGGAGATAACATACAAACTACAACCAGAAAATAATAAATTGGAATATTAATAAAAGCCGAAAATTAAAAAATATTATTAAGAAAAATGAAAAATAAATATTAAAAGATTCCAAACCAAGTTACGTCACAACGTTTCGATTGTTAGTATCCACAATCGTCTTCGGGTGATAACTGAACTTATTCCTCCGAGATCTGACTATTTATAGGTCATTCGGGTGCTTTCAACTTTCACCTATCCTCTTTCCGCTTCATTGGTTTTAGCATGAGATGACCGTTTGGCGAGAGTTGGTAATTTTTCGCTTGATAAGAGGTTTCCATATGTTATGTATCTTTACGCTTGCTTGGCTAAATGCGTTGTTGGATAACATATACGCGGCTTCCTTGAATTTTCTCCTAAACCAGTGTTCCTCTTCGTGGATGATTTCAGCTTGAGCCCATTTGATATTATGTTGATGAGTCCAAACATTCTCTACTATTCCGGATTTGCTGGTTTCTCCTCGCTGTGTGTGTTTCTTGTGCTCAGCCCTCTTAGTTTCACCGATGTTTGATACTCCGCACTCGCAGGGTATCCGGTAAATGCAATTCTTGGAATCGCAGTCCGCGTTTGGTGGCCTAGTTTTTTTGAGGTTGCTACGGATAGTGTTCCCAGATCTGAAGCAGGTCCTGATATTATATTTGGACCCAATCCTTCTTATCCTTCACGATAATCCTCTGATGTAGGGAAGTACAAATACTGGTTGTGGCGGCTTCTCTTCCTTGTGAAGCTCCTGCTGTCTTCTAGCTAAAGCCTGTTCTAACATCACTCTGAAGTAACCATTCCGGTGAAGGTCATTTTTGATGATGCCTAGTTCCTTTTCGATACCTTCCTTTGTATTACAGAGCCCGATCTAGTAGAGTCTTGATAACTCCTTTCTTAGTCGATTGTTGGTGATTAGATTTCTGGCTCAGATACTGTCCTGTGTGAGTGGGTTTTCGATATACAGATGTTTCCCATTTAGTGTCGGTCCTCTTCAGCAATACTTCCAAGAAAGGCAATTCGTTGTGGACTTCCTTCTCCATTGTGGAAGTGATATATATAGACCTAGCGGCGAATGTACAAATTCCTACAAAGCTCCAGAGTACTGGAAATACTAATGGATGAAAACGTATAAAGGTAATATCTGAAAAAAAAAGAATCGTTTCGAAATACTCACCAAAGCTACTCACCATACACTATTCATTTCAAAAAAAATTCAACTAATTGAGGCTGTATGGCGAAGATCTCAGTCAAGAGTGTTGAAAAAGCGAAATGAGATAGCATGTCATGATTCATGCAAATGTGAGGTAGGAAAATCATGGCCAACCCAAATCATACCAAAAAAATATGACAAATATCCAATGAAAGATTTGTGGAAACCCATTCCCATGATGGAAGAGACAACATAATGAGCTCATGTTTCACCCTTCCTGGTTCCCCGAGGTCCTACCCCCGTAAGTTTATCGCTCTCTTCATTGTTCCTACTGGCATAGTTTCCTCTCGCCGCCTCTTCTGCCTCGCATAACAGTGGTTACCTCCACTGTCGGCGGGTAGATCTTCAGGTTTCCCCTTCCGACCTACAGATGTCTTGTCCCGAGCATGTGTCCTCTAAGTGGTTTCCCTGGGACCCAGACTACCCCTTTGGTGGTAAGTCTTTCCTGCGCTCCACTGTCTTTAGTACACCAGCTCGGTGTGCCAGGTCTTCACTTCATTCAGAAGGTGAATCTTTGGCAATTGGTTTACCCATCTGCATTACTCTCTCCTACCTCTTGGACGTGTCTTCTCAGAATGAAAACCCTTGTCCCAGTCCTTGTTCTGATCCGCCTGACACACAAGCCTCGTTCATCTCCCTTTCCAAGGAGTTACTGTTTCAGGTTCAGGTGTAAGGTTCTTCTCAAACTGCTCCAAAGTAGCAACAAAAAATGAATGCTGTGAAAGTTTTTAAAAGTAATTATATTGTGAAATATTGACACATTTCCTAATGCTACCTCATTACTGTGTTATGAATGTTCACGGCGATCACCGCAATCAACCCCCTCTCCAGAACAATCTGTGTATCATTTCCCAGTATAATTTCAGTCCAGAATTCATTTGATCATTTCCACTTCATATCCACCCCCACGGCATCCTTGCGACCTACCCTTGTCGCCTAACTCACTACTCTCATCGCAAAAACTAAACAATGAACCCCTTATCATTTTCAGAGCAAGAAAGCGGCGGTTGGGGACAGTGGAGTCCCTGGACGGCGTGCTCCACAACTTGCATCGGGGGAACGAGGAGTCGTTATCGTTTCTGCGATTCACCGCCCCCCAGATACGGAGCCAAGTTTTGTGAGGTAAGACGTTTTATTCGATAATTGCTTGTACAAACATCAGTAGCACGGATAGGGATTCCGTGAACAAACACGTGAGAAGTTTCTGTTGTTTCTCGTTTCGAGCCGGTGCGTATAGCGTGTTTGGGATTGAGGGAGGTTTTTGAAGAGGGTGCGAAAGTACAGTATTCACCTTGAATACTTTGAATATATATTATTTTTCAGGGAACGAATTCCTGTATCTTGCGTAGCAAATGAATTTTTTAATTAGCAATCAACAATGTTTTAATATTTGGAATGAATCGTGTAACTTTAATAATGATTTATACTACTAGGTAATCCTCACTGATATGCTGATATTCGAAGGTTCAAATCTACATGAAAACAAAACGATATGTTGATATAAAAACTATACTCCAAAAATGCTTCGTTACGGAAATACAAGGTGCTGAAGTTTTAGGAAAAAAAAAGGGATATTGTTCACTATTTTCGAAATCTTCCCAGATATTTTAGCAGAGACAGTTCTTATTTTTCTGGATGATAACGAGTGATTTTTTTGCTGGCATCTTTTTGGCAACACTGTTTTTGACAGATCACGCGTGAATCGTGTCTTGTGTCATTGTCAAACTTCAGTTTGGTCAATAATTTAACCATGAATCGACTCACGAATGAACAACGCTTGCAAATTATTGAATAACATTATCAAAATTCATGCTTGGTTAGGAAAATGCATCGTGCACCTCTTAAAATTTATGGGCAGTTCCGTCTGCCTACTGAGGGAGCTATTCGATAGCTTGTGACTAAATTTCGAACCCAGTTTACATTATTGGACATTAAACCACCAACACGCATATGTAGAATGGGGACCGAAGATAATATTGCGGATGTATCCGCCAGTGTTCGTGATGACCGTGAAATGTCGATTCGTCGCCGTTCGCAGCAATTGGGCCTCTGTTACTCCACTACGAGGAAAATTTTGCGAAATGATTTGGGTGATAAACCTTATAAGATACAACTGATGCAAGAATTGAAGCCACTCGACCTCCCACAACGTCTAATATTTGGTGAATAGACGCTGGCAAAGTTGGAGAAAGATCCAAATTTTCATCGAAAAGTTTTTTTCAGCGACGAGGCTCATTTCTGGTTGAATGGATACGTTAACAAGCAAAATTGCCGCATCTGGAGTGAAGACCAACCACAAGCATTGCAAGAGCTACCGATGAATCCAGAAAAAGTCACTGTTTGGTGTGGATTATGGGTCAGTGGTATCATCGGATCGTACTTCTTCAAAGGCGACAAGTGCCGGAACGTTACTCTGAATGGCGAGCGCTGCCGTGTAATGATTCACGACTTTTTGTTGCCCAAAATAGAAGAATTGGACATGGCTGACATGTAGTTTCAACAAAACGGTGCCACATGCCACACCACACGCGAAACAATGGCCCAATTAGGAGCCGCCTTCGTTGAAAAGTTTATCTCAGTTCATCTCGTTTGGAGCCCGTCAATTGGCTGCCTAGACCGTGTGATTTAACGCCTTCAGATCATTTCTTGTGAGGTCATGGTAACGCTCATATCTATAGGGATAAACCAGCAACGAATGACGCTCCAAAAGCCAATATTGAAGCATTTATACGTGAAATACCTGTCGATATGTTGAAGAGAGTGTGACAAAATTGGACCTGGTGCATGGGTTATCTAAAGCGGAGCCGCGGACAACATTTGCATGCAATCATCTACAAACATTAAATTATATTGATCGTTCTATCGATTCCAATGAAGATTTCATAATTTTTTTCAAATTTTTTGTGTTGTTTTGAAAATCAAACCCTATATCTCTTAAAAAATCACCTGTTATGAAAGCAGTTGTTTCAGAAGGACTTTTTCCTCCAATTTGTTGTTTCTGAAATTGATTGCTTCCGTCATGTCTTTGAAAAATTTCCTCATATTTTTGATTGAAAATGCAGAAGTAGACATGAATAGTGCCATCGCTCATTGTTGTCCTGGCCGAAGGCCTTTCAACGAAGCATCCTCCCTCTATCTATCGAATCCACCGCCACGAGAACCCATGCTCCATCAAATTAGTGAGGTAGAAAACCCTTTTCTTTATTTCAATAATATAATTACAATACATTTTATACAAAATACTATCTCAACTAAATACAATATATCATATTAATAAAATACAAATAAAACATTTCTTCTTTTCTGTACACTGCCTAGATGCCCGTACAATATCCGTGGTCGTCACCATTGGGGAGACCGCCAACAGCGCTCCAAGTCCTCGGCACTCCAGATTTTTGGCACCAAGGTAACAGCCTGCTCCTTACTCTTCTCTTTCATCCCTCACCACACTCTCCGCCCATTCATTGACGAATCTTATCCATTCATTGTTCTTTCCATTCTCTCCTCTCAGAACAATCTCCCCATTTTCTCGCTCCTTATATTCTCTCCATTCACGCCACCCTGTCCTGTCTCCATCCATACATCTTTCTATCACGTGTTCCGCCGTTTCAGGCTCCCCATAGCCGCAGAAACATGGCACTTCCGAGCCCAGGTTGAACCTGGCAAGATATCCCGGAAAATTACCATGTCCCGTAAGCAACTGGGTGGCCTTCCGCGTCAGATTCAGTGATTCATTCCCGACTGTCCTACAGAATCTGTAGAACAGCCGCCCAGTCTCTCCCGTGTCCCATTCCCTCTGCCAATCTATCCTGATTTGTTCTTTGATCCTCTTCCTCTCTTCACTCTTACTCCCCATTCTCACTACTTCCCATGAAATCTCCGTTTTTGTCACTCCTCTTGTTGCCTCCTCGTGAGCTTTCTTATTACCGAGATTGTTATTCTCGTGGCCGCGCTTCCAGATTAACCAGGTCCGCGCTCCTCTCACTTTTCTCTCCTCTATCATCCTCTGAATACGCGCTACCCTCTTATTCCTCGTTCTTCCTGCTTTCAGACGTTCCACAGCCATGGCAGAATCGCTCACCACAGTTACGCTCTCATTCTTGTCCCACATACCTATCACTCTTTCGATCGCAACCAATTCTGCCTCATTCACACTGCTCTGTCCGGGGATTCTTTCATTTCCTTGTACCCATTCATTTTCCTCCCGTTCGTATGCCCAGCCTATGCCCATTCGTTCTTCTTCCAGTTTTGCTCCGGCATCCACGTACACACTCATCACACTCTCGTCCTCCCCTTCCTCCAGCAACATTCCTTGCATCCATTGGAGTATTCTATCCTCTCCTTTCACTCTGTCTTCTCTCTTTCTTCTCCCATTCACACTCCAATCATGGTATCTGGCGCTCGCTTCCACATGAAGCGGTGCCATACCTGTGATAACACAGAGCGCTGCCGTTGGCGCCGTCCTGTACGCTCCACATGAAGCGATTAGGAAGGGCCTCTGCGCCGCGCTCAGTTGTCTCCTGATACGACTGTCGTGCGTTCTAACCCCCCACACTTGTACTCCATACATGATCGCAGGTTTTGCCACTCTCTCATATATTATTCTCACACATTCTCTCCTAAGGAGAGAAGGACTTTTTCCTCCAATTTGTTGTTTCTGAAATTGATTGCTTCCGTCATTTCTTTGAAAAATTTCCTCATATTTTTGATTGAAAATGCAGAAGTAGACAGCCAAAACCTATCTTCCCCAAGTGTCACAATTCGTATCATTATAGTCATTACTCGTCTTCTATAAAATCAACTGCGAAGGAATGGTGTTTGACGTTATTTTGGAAAAGTTTCAAGTGTAAACTAAATCAATTATGCCATATTGGTTATCTGATTTGCATGAAAATGCCGTTATTCGGGATCGCATTCACTTCCCCGAAATTGTTTGAGACAATCCATTTCCATTCCTAGAAATTCACCCAAAATCGATACACCGTTTCCACAGTAACCCAACAAATCAAACTTGAAATATCGTTCAATATCTGTGTACGCGAAGTGAAACATGGCGAAAGGCAAAGCAAAGAAAGGCAAAAAGAAGAAAACGGTAGAAGTAGATCCCAACGCCCTGACGGAAGTGGACAAAACGTTTTACGAGTTGACTATCACAGATCTGAATAGAAAATTGGCACGGTTGAGATCTTTGACGCAGGAGCTGGAACAGAAAAATGAGGAAATCACTGCGGAGAAGGAAAAGCTGGACGAGGACAGGGCGGATATTATTGTTTATCTGAAGAGAATGCTGCAGGAAAAAACAGACGAGATTGCTGAGCTGGAGGAAAGAATCACTGCGCTGCAGGAGACCAGGCAAACTGAGACTGAGAAATCTGAAGAGAAAATTAGCGAAATGGAAACGGAATACAACCAGATGCATGAACAATTGACTTCGGAGAATAAGCTATTAGAAGGTGAGAGAGAGAGAGAGAGAGAGAGAGAGAGAGAGAGAGAGAGAGAGAGAGAGAGAGAGAGAGAGAGAGANAATTGAGATTGATTGAAAAATGCACATTCTACAGGGGTGGTTCCATTTTAAATGGGTCACACTGTATAAAAATATATAAGTTGTACAGGTAAATAATAAACAAATAAGATATTTTTCAAAGATTATCATTATGAAATTCTTGAATATTATAGTATGGTCTATCACTTGAAACCTTTCAGAACTCTCCTGAAGCATTGTAAAGACTACTTCTGCTACATTCTTTGGCAAGTAGTTGAACATTTCATAACCATTATAGACAATGAAATCCTTTATGACTGATGTCATTGGTATTGACAACTTAATGTTGTTGGATTGCCTCGTCACATAATGGGTTGGTGAGGATTGAAATTCATTCAGATATTTCTTAATTAATCACATTGTTTCCATTATAAAGAGAGGAATCACTATTAGAATTTCATGAGTGGTAAAAATTAATCTACAAGAGTCTTTACTTTTTGATTTGTACATGTATCTTACGGCTCGTTTTTGCAAAATTACAATATTTGTAGTAGATAACCACTACATACGCCCCAAAATGGAATTCCATATCTCAGGTGATATTTCACCAGAGAAAAATAAACAGTCTTAGCTGCTGGGAAACCAAGTTCATTTGGTTTCAACAACCAGACGACATTTCATTACACAAGGCATAAATGTGGTTTTGAAATTTTAGTTTTCTATCGATATGTACTCCTAAAAATCTTAAGCTACTTTTGTTCGCAATGATGCCATTCCCAATGGGTATATTGTCAAATTCACATTTGAAAGTTACTATGTTAGTTTTCTAAATATTCAGAGCATCCGATTTGAATCAGACTTTATTTTCATCACATAGATGGATATGATTTTAGTTAAATCATTTGCATTGTGCGATTACCAAAATAAGGTAGTATAGTATGCAAATAGTGTGAGTTTTCCTAAGATACTTGTACTTATCAAATTGTTGAGGTAGATGAGAAATAATGTTGGCCCTAGTATTGAACCTTGTGGCACATCATTACATATTTTCTCAATTTCTGAGCGGTGGGTTATTTCCACTATCTGACTACGAGATGGTGAGAATTGAATGATAAAACACGAATTTTTCAAAATGAATTATGGAAATATTGATTTTGCGGGTAAAAATCAGTTCTTTGTCGACCTTCTTTGGGTAGTATCACCTTCCACAATTTCCATATTCGTCAGATTGTAGAAATACCAAAAGGAGGTTGATGAAAGAAGCTATAGAAATTTTGTTTTCTAACTCAAAGTGGAAATAACAATAAGGGTGAATGCCAAAAATGGATAAATTGATCGATCGTGAAGAATGAGAAATGAAACTTTCTGTTTTTTTACCACTTTGTAACTAACGAATACAATAAACTGAAAATTAATAATAATATCAGCGCTTTTATATCTAAACACCACTGTAGGTAATGACAGAGGTATTTAACTTCATTTCGTTCACCTGTGACAATGTGGTTACGCTAATTTGAAATCACCAAATCACCAAAATTCTCAATGCTCTATGAAAATGTTTTCATATACTATTTTTTATTTCAATAAGACAATATTTCTTCTTGATAATAAATTCAAAAATGATATTAGTATTATACTATGAATTCGACTATCCAATGTAACTTGAACTTATCATTTTATTTCAAGGAAAACTGAACTCTCTGGAAGAATTTCGTTCTCAGCGCGACGACTTGATGAAAAAATTCGAAACGCAAGAAACTCTACTGGAAACCCAAGAAAAACGCCACAAACGCGAACTCTACGAAATCGAAAGAAAATTCATAATAAGCAAAGACCAACTGAAAAAAGAAATGGAGGCGAGACTCCTGCAGCTCTCAACTGATTTTCACGACGCTACTGAACTTCGGATAGCGGCAACAACGCACAGAGTTATTAGAGAGAACATTACCGTCAATAATGAGTTAGACGTTTTGTTAGCAAACCAGCAACGCCTCTATAACGAAAATAGTAGCATAAAGAAAAGAGACACAAACTTGCGACAACAGTGCGAGCTTCTTGAACAAGAGAAAAAAAAGGCACTGGGTAAAGTGAGGGTACAATTGAGGATAATAAGCCGGCTCACAGATGATCATAAGTTCATGAGTGACCAGCTGGAGAAACTGAAGAAGTATGAGGTGGAAGTGCTAAACAGCAGGACGGAGAATAGAAAACTCAACGAAACCATCCTGCAGCTGGAGTACAAGGTGAAAGTTTTGGAGCAGAATCTCCATCACGTCAGGTGCGATAGAACATCCGTGGAGACCGACTTTCTATATCTTAAGGAAGAAAATGATAGACTAAGCGAAGTTTTGATGGAAGCCGAAAGCTGCATAAAGGAGGCCCTTACTGTGAGGACCGAAAGTGACCAATCTCTGAAAGCTTCGAAACGGGAGAACCTGCTCAACTCTCTCTTTACCCTCCTCAATAAAGCGAAGAAGCAGAAAATAAGGCGGCCGTCTCTAGAGACTGTGGACTTAGTCGAGGCAACTTATATGCGAGGAGATCTTGGCTTCGTTCCCAAACCTGTAGAGCTCAGATCCACCGTTCCTACCAAGAGACACATCGATTCTCAGACAGGAGCTAGCTTCGAAGAATATCTTGCCACGGGTAAAATAGCCTCTTTCAAAAACCTCTATACCGAAGATGGCGAAGAAGAAGTGGAAGAAGAGACCGAGCACGGAATCGAAGAAGAGGTTGTTGAGGAAGAGAAAGAGAGTGTCCTGTTCTTCGACGAAACTGAGGTGGCCGACGAAGAGACTGACAGTGCAGAGTTTGATATTTTCCAGCAGCATGAAGAGTCGGAGACATCGAGGTCTTCAGGAACAGTAAGCGCGTCATCGACGAAGGATAACACGGTGTCGGAAAGGTCGTTGAAGGATATTACGAAGAAGTCTCTCATCACAGCCGCACTCTCGAAAGTGTTTTCTAAAAAGTCCGTTTCGAAAATGGAGGAAGTTGAGGATAGCTCAGAGGGAAAATCTGAAGCAAGTGAGGAAGGCAAATAAATCATCAGTTCACACTGTTGTTTCATTTTTATAGACTAGTTGATGGTTCTATGCGGGAGATTCTCAAATTAACTTTGTAGATACTGAAATTAAGGATACGTTTCCTATAAATCTAGTGATACAATTTCTAACTAATCACGACCAATATTAACTAGAAAACGTACCTGTCCATTGTTAAACTTCCTCATTGAATGTTCAACCGTTAAACTTCCTTATTGAATGAAGTGCGCAGAAAATTATTGTTGATACTCAACTATATACATTCAACAAACAAACTAACTCAATCAATGATAGATGCGTGGTCAAAGCATGATAACCACGCACATTTGCATCTATTGGGAAGAATAAATAAGCCTCCTTACGCTGGCCGATCAGATTTAACTGCAATCGGCTGACAGAATTCATTGTTACAGTGTCAGAGTGGTCAATTACGTTCAAACGCCTATGGTGTGTACATATACGATATTTTGTAGTAATAATAATAATATCGTCTTTATTATCTTCTAATACATTTGAAGCGAATTAATCAGGAACAGTTCATTTATTACATGAAGATAAAAGGCGAAGTTCAATTTACATGTTGACAAGTCATGTACTGTACTGTACTGTACTGTACGGCTGAAGAAATTAATAATTTGTGTCCCTACACTTCACCTAAAAAATTTATTGAAATTTTGGTCGATCTTTACTGCGACTATGTACAAGCAGCCTTGTCTGCTTGGATGGACAGAGTTCTGGGACTGAATTCTTAGCAAAAACCAGTGTAGAATCCTAGAAGGTGGGCAGACAGATCTTAATGTAGTATTTTTTTTATTTCTAACTCAATTCAAGATTTCAGTATAGTTCACGAGTCTGTTCAATATTTGATATCATTTGAGTTTTAGTGTTTTTGACATAATGATGCTTTAATATCGAAATAACTTTTATAGGCATTGAAGTCATTCCTAAATTTATCTTAATGTAATCTTATGCATCATGATTTTCATTTTGATGAGAATTTTTTTTACAGCTTTTCATTCAAAATATTCAAAACTACTTCCACAAAAAAATGAAATTCTGGAAACTGAAGTGTAATAAAGTGTAATATTTGAACATATTCACATACATTTCAAATTCAACATTTCTACAGATTTTTCAAACCGATGAAATGGTGAAAACATTGAAGTCTAGGCCATCAAAAGGATCATAAATTATCGCTTCTTTTCAACGGCAATGAAAAGGACAGCTATGAAAATATCATCTAGGTGTTATTATATATCATTCTCACAATTTTAATCACTTATTGTGTTAATTTACATACATCAGTGAAATCGAATATTCGAATATGATTGTGACTGAATATTAAAAGCCTGCATAAATGCTTTTACATAAATTCACAGGTTCAATTTGATATTGTGATTATAACAATGACTAGACCCCAACTTTATCGAGACAGCTGGAATGAATATGTGAATCGAACAAAACTCACCAGTGCAATGAATAGATATAGGAGAGCACAATGAAAAACGAAATCTTTCAATTCTAACTCTACTTCGAATACCAAAAATTCATGGATAGTGTCCAGAAATCTCTAAAGATCATATTCGAAACGTATTCGTATGATAAGAATCTGTAAAGTTGAATTTCATTGAAATCGAAAAGAATACGCGACGTACTGGTGACTCTTCTAGCAGCGTCAAGTAGGCCGAGTCCGGATCTGCGTTTTCATTTGAAGATGATCAATTTCAACAATTACACTGTATTGTTGAAAAATACGAGTTTAGTCATTTACGTATTCTGTTCATATATTGAACAAAGTATCTTTAATAATTGGACTTCCACAATTGTACTTCTCATTCAGGTGATAAAATTGATTTAATTCAATACCACTCGACGTTCAAAGTCTCTCAGGCAAATTTTTTATGCTCCTCCATGTTATTCAATATAGTGGCAAATGAAGCAACGATCACAAAATATCTTGATAGATACAAAAGATATTTCTTTGTATGACTGTGAATATGCATCAATGTGATATAAAACGTTGGTAGGTTTTTCTCACAGGAATTTGTTCCGGAATTCCAATTTCATTTGATGAAAGGATTTAGTTTGTTTGGCTGATGCCGCTTTTTACAGAAGAGTGAATCCGAAACATTTATTATCAAACCACTAATTGCGATCATCAGTAATTGGTTTCAGCACAGAAATGAATTCGTTCTCTGAAAGCTAGATATATTACTGGAATGTTTTTAATACTTTTTCTGAACGTAACAGTCGGAACGTTAATATGAGTCAGAGGTCCACAAAAGTACTCAAATTATAGTACTCATACAAATAAGTAACGTAAATGCTCTCAAATGTTAATGAATAAGGTGAATAATATGATTACCAACATAAAAATGCGAATAAATATATCAAACTGTATGTCCATAATGAAAAAGACCAAAATGGAAAGAATCGTGAGAGAAACAAAGCCCGTTGATTGGAAAAACATGCCTTTCTCAGATCTTTCAACATTTAGAAAGATATTAAAAACCAAATTTTGTCAATTTTGTTTCGATTTCTTCCGAATTTACTCAGGGAGTTATTAAAAAACCAAAACCAACTTCCATTGCACCTTTTGAGGTTGTTAGGTTAGGTTAGGCACGGCCAAAAGTAAGTGAGCCTACAACTCGCAGGGGTTTATTATGGCTCACACTTACTCAAACTCGACCCAGCTTCTTGACGAAGCCGATCAGTTTATTCGGTAAGTGATCTTTCAGGTCAGATGTTGAAAGTGTGAATCTACGATGATTCAGACGACAGTGACCCTATTCATCCCTATTGTAGTTCAACAACTGTTTGGTTCCAAACTTCTGAAGGTGAATAAACGCCTTGGAGTGAAAGATCTTGCCATCCATTCTTGAGGTGTACAAAATGGCGTTTACAGATTTTTGAATCTGGCTTTTCCTTTCCAAGAAACCATTACCAATTTGAATATTACTGGAGTTTTTTCCCAACACCAAATCGTTATTTCCAACACCTCGACACGTGTTTTGATCACCAAGTGATTCTTCAAAGAGGAAGATTAAAACTAAAACTAACGCGAAGCTAACCCTATTTATGCTATATAAATATCCCATACAGGAAAACCATCCAGGTGTACCAGCCATACAGGTATACCAACCCAAAATAATTCTACAATTTTTCCTTATCTATTATTTTACAATATATTTTTAACTGTTAAAGCTGTATATAAAACAATTTTCAGCTATATACAATTAATTTCACAATATTGCACAATACCTAAATTTATTTTTGCAATGCATCCTTTGTAGTAATCAGTAAACACAACAACATTATTTTAACAAGCTATATAGTATGCTCTTTGGTATAGGTCCGTCATCGTTATTCATAAAATTATTGTTTTTACTTATTTCTACACTCTCATAGGCATCTAGTTGCCTGTTGTTGTTAACTTGTCTGACTAATCTTAATGAACTGAAGTCTATGGAATGATTTCGTTGCAAAATATGATGGACGACTACTGATTCTTCAGGTCTTTTATATTTTAAGTATGCTATGTGTTTCTTATATCTTACTTCAATAGATCTTTTGGTCTGTCCATAATATTTTGCATCGCAGTCCTTACATTGAATTTCGTAATTTCTAGACTTTTCCGAATTTTCGACTTTGTCTTCTGAACTTCCCAAACGGCTCTGTAGTGTATGACTTGTTTTAAAAATCACCTTCATACCTAGTTCCTTGGAAATATTTCCAAAGTTCCTCGTATATTGGTGGTATGGAACTGAGATGTATTTATCTTGGTTTTTGTCCTTTCTGAAAGTCGAGAATTCCTTCATTCTCAACCTAAACTTCTTCTTCCTTATTAAGTCATCTACAATACCCCTCGAGAAACCGTTAGTGGCTGCTATTTCCTGAATTGTACGTCTTTTCTTTTTTTTTTCTTTTTTTTATTTTTTTTTTGTGAACCTATCGTGTGTGTTAACATATGATATGTTCACAAAAGAAAGACGTAAAATACAGGAAATAGCAGCAACTAACGGTTTCTCGAGGGGTATTGTAGATGACTTAATAAGGAAGAAGAATTTAGGTTAAGAATGAACGAAATCTCAACTTTCAGAAAGGACAAAAACCAAGATAAATACATCTCAGTTCCATACCACCAATTTACGAGAAACTTTGGAAAGATTTTCAAGGAACTAGGTATGAAGGTGGTTTTTAAAACAAGTCATACACTACAGAGCGTTTTGGGAAGTTCAAAAGACAAAGTCGGGAATTCGGAAAAGTCTGGATATGGACAGACAAAAAGATCTATCAAAGTAAGATATAAGGAACACATAGCACAATCAAAATATGGAAGACCTGAAAAATCAGCAGTCGCCCATCATATTTTGCAACAAAACCATTCCGTAGACTTCAGTTCATTAGGATTAGTTAGACAAGTTAACAACAACAGGCAACTAGATGCCTATGAGAGTGTAGAAATAAGTAAACACAATAATATTATGAATTACGATGACGGACCTATTACAAAGAGCATACTATATAGCTTGTTGAAATAATGGTGTTGGGTTTACTGATAAAGGACGCATTGCAAAAATAAATTCAGATAGCAATATTGTGAAATTAATTTTATGTAGCTGAAAATTGTTTTATATACAGCTTCAACAGTTAAATATATATTGTAAAATAATTGATAAGGAAAAATTGTTTTAGTTTTAATCTTCCTCTTTGAAGATTATTACTTGGTGATCAAAACACGTGTTGAGGTGTTGAAAGCAACGATTTGGTGTTGGGAAAAAACTCCAGTAATATTCATTACTAAACCAAAGGTTCCAAACAGTGCATCATATGTACATTACCAATTTGCCTATTTCATATGAACCCATTGCCTATTTCATTATAAATAGTTGCCTACTTCAGAATAGTTTTCCGATATGTGAAAGCAATCGTTTGTTTATTATATTTCTAAAACGAAGTATAAGTATGGGGTCTTTCAACAGGGACTTCCGATCTTTTATTTTCAATCTGTTTCATCAAATCACTATAGACAGATATAGCCATCCAACAACACATGCGAATGATGAAATTGTTTTAATAAAAGGGTTGTTTGAAGGTGATTGACAATGTTTCGTGGTGTATTTCATCAGTTCGGACTTCCATTGTGTATTATTATATAAACTGATTTGAAATCCCTGAAAAAAAATTTAAAAATTAACCGAAAATAACAATTTTATTAAACAAAAAACTGAAATTACATACAATCAAACACAAAAAAATTAAAAATTGAAATATTAATAAAAGCTGAAAATCAAAAAATTGAAAAATATTATTAACAAAAAATGAAACAGAAATTAAAACATTCCCAACCAAGTTACGTCACGACGTTTCGATTGTTAGTATCCACAATCGTCTTCGGGTGATAACTGGACTTATTCCTCTGAGATCTGACTATTTATAGGTCATTAGAGTGCTTTCACCTATCCCCCCTTTCCTCTCTCCGATTCATTGGTTTTAGCGGGAGATGACCGTTTGGCGGGAGTTAGTCATTTTTCGGTTGATTAGAGGTTTGCATATGTTACGTATCTCTACGCTATCTTGACTAAATGCGTTGTTGGACAACATATACGCGGCTTCTTTGATTTTTCTGCTAAACCAGTGTTCCTCTTTGTGGATGATTTCTGCTTGAGCCTCGTGATGGTATGTTGATGAGTCCAAACATGATCTGCTACTTCGTATTTGCTGGTTTTTCCTCGCTGTGTGTGTTTCTTGTGCTCAGCAATGCGAACTTTCAATGGCCTTTTAGTTTCACAGATCTATGATTCTCCGCACTCGCAGGGTATCCGGTAAATGCAATTCTTGGAATCGCAGTTCGCGTTTGTTGGCCTGGTTTTTGTGAGGCTGCTACTTATAGTTTTCCCAGATCTGAAGCAAGTCCTGATGTCATACTTGGACCCTATCCTTCTTATTCTTTCTGATAATCCTCTGATGTAGGGAAGTACAAGTACTGGTTGTGGCGGCTTCTCTTCTTTGTGCAGCTCTCGCTGTCTTCTAGCTAAAGCCTGTTCTACCATCACTCTGGAGTAACCATTCCGTTGAAGGTCATTTTGATGATGCCTAGTTCCTTTTCGAGACCTTCCTCTGTATCACAGAGCCCGAAAGTACGGTCTAGTAGAGTCTAGTAAAGTCATCTCCCGCTAAAACCAGTGAAGCGGAGAGAGGGAATTGGTGAAAGCACTCGAATGACCTATAAATAGTCAAATCTCGGAGGAATAAGTTCAGCGAGCACTATGGGTCACTGATCACCAACTTCTTCTGGCCTAAATTGGATAATCTGGACACCAACGACATCTGGTTACAACAGGATGGCACTACGTGCCACATACTCATGTCATATTGGATATTCTGCACGAGCGAATTGAAGCCATAGTCATCTCAGGTGGAGGTGAAGCGAGCTGGCCACTAAGATCGTGCGACTTGACCCCGTTAGACCCTTTGTTGTGGTGTTTTCTTGATTCACAAGTATATGTGAATGAGCTACGAGTCAAAGCGCTCCTCGAAGCCAAGATAATCCATGGCCCCACCCAGAAAATCCATGTCGGACAGTTGATCAGTGTTACATTCCACTCCTCATGGAATCAATACGTCTATCAAAGGAATGACAAAATTTCGATTACATCTCACAGGCACTGTGAGATGTAATGAATTTGAAGATAGGAGGAGCCTAATGAAGGGCCTTATATATCAACCATCACTTCGAAAATGCCTTGGAAAATTGTAGCCAATCAGTTTTCACCTGCTACTCAATCAGGATTTTGACCCGAGTACGGTTCCACTTGTACTTGCTGGAGAAACTGATGACATTTTCAGAGTTTGGGATTAGAAACAGAGCACAGTACTCATTTTCCTAAACAAAACCAAAGTTTTTGATATCCTAAATCATGATTAACTGTCTACTGAGTTTCAATTTTTTGCACTGGGTGAATCGATGGTCAGAAATCGTCGGCAGCAAACACTCATTAACGGAATTGAACTTGAAAGTCGAGACACATCGAGAAGTGTACTTCAGAGTTACATTTCTTGATCTATGGTAGTTTTGATTCAGATTCCAGATTTTTCAAAATATTTAGAATTTTGTAATATTCAGTGCAAATGGCATCCAACTTCATGAAACTCTCTACCTATCTGAGTTAAGAATGAAGAATTAAAAGATCTGATGAACGGGGAATCACAAGGCCTTCGTTTCTATTTGAATACTAGTAGTAGCACGAACGATGACGTTTCATGTAAATTTCATGTCTTTGATATCCATTTCAGTTCAAAAGTGAAGAAACTTTGTACGACCGCAGTGTTTGTGGCCATTTTCAGAACTGCTCATATTCAGAATAAATATTCACAAATACAAAAAAGTATCACAATTGTTCTTTTCAGGGTCCAGCCGTGGAGACCGAAAAATGCGGCTCTGGCATCGGTACCGGCTGGGAATGCTTCTACGGAGGCGTCGCCTTCGCCAGAGATATCGCCGCCGAAATTCCTGAAGTGAAGGCGGAAGTGGGGCCTTTCTGCAGATGCGGATGCGTCGTCCATCTTGGCCAGGCGAAACCGAGGAGGTTGTTGGCAACGTCATCGCAAAGTTGTCCCGGCAGAACTTTCTGGCTGATTCAAGTAAGGTTTATATGTATATTCATGACTGACTTAGATTGGGTTGTTTCAAAAGTTTTGTCCGTTTTAATGGCATGGTTTTTGTGGCTTCTTCTCAATGAATATTTATTCAACTGTGTTGTGGTAAATACTGCTTTCTTCAGCTCATGATGTCGTTAAACGATGTTTGGACAATTTTGCTCTACGAATTGAAACAGAACCAAAGCTCTGCCGAAAGAGACCACAGGATCAACCAGACCTTCGACAATGCTAGTGTTAATGAACGCATTACTCGATGTTGGATTGCGAAATTCAGTTCCGGAGATTTTAGCCCCAAAGTAGTCCACTTATAATATTCCAGAACGGGAATTAGAGAACCCTGGTGGAGACAGACACAACACAAATGTACGTGGGATGGCGGAAGAACTGGGCATCAGTTCTCGTGTGGTTTTTGATGGTTCAAAACGTATTGTTGATGTCACAGTTGAGATAATTATTATAAATTTTGTAACATATTGCGACTATTATGTATAACCTTCTATTCTCTAAACTCGAGATTTCAAATTCTTTCCTGAGATTATTAGTTCTCACAGTATTATAATCTGGGTAGACTCCATATTTCTTAGAATATAAATGCCGCAGTAATCTAGTAATCGAGTTTGGGTCTCACCAGAGCGTTATATATCCTAATGACTGTTTGGTAATTTCTAAAATGTTTACTTTGCCTCAAAACAAAACCCAAACTCCGTAAACCCTAAGAGACTACTATTTCAATGTGTTTTTCGAATGACAGGGTTAAGTCATATCGTACCCACAAATCTTTAACATTACTTACTCGTGCCAACGTGATATGTTCCATTTCATATGAATACTTTATTTCATCTTTCTTTCTAGTGCAAGTCATTACAATACATTTTGACGTATTAAATGGTAACTCATTTTTCACCCTCCATTGGTAAACATTTTCAATATCCTTCTGCAGCTTACTACAATTTTGAACACAATCTATTTTTCTATAAAATTCAAGATCATCCGCAAAGAGTAAACAATTTGAATATTCAATTTCCGCTACTAGATCATTAATAAAAATGAGAAACAATAGAGGCCCCAGATTTGATCCTTGGGGCACTCCTGATTTTGACTGGTACTCATCTTAATAGTTGGTACCAAATTTCACCCTGAACGTTCTCTCATTTAAATATGATGCTAAAAATTTCATAGTTTCTTTTGAAGCTCCACATAGAGAAAGTTCATTTAACAATACATCATGATTTACTTGGTTGAACGCTTTTTGGAAATCTGTGTATATCACGTCGTCCTGAGTAGAATTTTCCAGACTTCTAAGTACGTCATGACTGAAAGATAAAAGATTTGTGGAAGTTGACTTTTTTGGCACAAAGCCGTGCTGTTCTTCATTTATTAAATTCTTTACTTTGTGCCACACTTTAGTATATATTATCTTTTCAAACAATTTACCAGGAGCAGGTAATACAAAAATTGGCCGGTAATTTTCTATAAGTGACATTTTACCAGATTTGTGTATAGGAGTTTCAATAGCACGTTTCCATCGTGATGGAAACTTATTTTGTCTTAAAGAAAGATTATATAAATCAACGGTTATTGGAAAAACTTCGAACAACCTTTTATAATATGAGGTGGGATATTATCTACACCAGCACAGTTTTTGGTCTTATTTTTTTTTAATGCTATAAAATAATCAGTTACTGTTACTTCGTCTAATGAAAAATTTTTCTTTCTTCAGCAACGATGCTAAAGTTGTATTGGGCCGTTTGCTTGAAATATACAGATTCAAAATATTTACCAAAGCTATTTGGGATCTCAGCGCCGCTGAGTGTCATATTATTGTATTCAAAGACAGTAGACGAAGAAGAATTTTTTTGTTATTTTTGGTATACGTCCAAAATGTGCTGGTGTCAGTTTCAATAGCATTTTTGATACCATTGATGTAGTTATCAAAACTCTGTTTTATCATATTCCAAAAACACTTTATTGTGAGATTTTCACTAAATTGTTTTACAAAAACGCAACACGTGTTTCGCCATACAATGGCTTCATCGAATTTGATCAAACAAATCGCGATTAATAACGGTTATAAGGTAGATATTGTAAGCTCCATTCTTTCCAAAAAACGACAAAAGCAAGCCATGGATCTGGTCTACCCATATTCAAGATGCGATAACGTTAGTTATAAGACATTGACATATGTGGGGGAACCAAACAGGAATATTGCCCGTTTTTTGAAGAAAGAAGGCGTAAACGTAGCTTATAGAATGAATAATAACCTAAGTAAATTTATTAAAAACAATAAGGACAAAACTTTGGTGTCGGATAGATCAGGAGTATATAAGCTGACTTGTGACTCTTGTCCAAAACTGTATATTGGCCAAACAGGAAGAACATTTTTCCAACGAATTAAAGAACATAGGAGTAGTTTTGTAAATAGAAAGACCAATTCCACATTTGCAAACCATCTTTTAGCAGAAGGACATGAGTTCAATCATGAGTACGAGGTGTTACATTTAGAAGAGAAGAGTTTGAAACTTAATCATCTAGAATGTTTAGAAATCAATAGATTCAGGAATTCGGGTAATTTACTGAATGATCAATTAGAACTAAATAACTCTCCGTTACTGAATATATTTTTCCAAATGTGAAAATGGAACATAAGTGCAGGTAATTTAATTCGTTAGAAACTCAGGTAAAATATCAGCTACTTAAAATTCAGGTACTTCGTTTACAGGTACTTTGATTTCAGGTACTCCATAAACTATATATATATTTAGTATTGAATGTGTAGAATTAGTTGAAAGACACGCCAGATGAAGCCATTGTATGGCGAAACACGTGTTGCGTTTTTGCAAAACAATTTAGTGAAAATCTCACAATAAAGTGTTTTTGGAATACGTTAGTTATGGATTTTCATCAAGTATCGGCCGATTCCATCATATATCTGTTTTATCAAGCGTTTAAGGTGGCTTCTTTCAGTGTTATATAAAGGTCATATGATTGTTTGATGAATGTTTAAGTTTTCTATATTCAATTCTATTCAATAAACATTCTATTATGTGTTTAGTAAACCATATAGGGTATTTATTTCTTTTTTGGAAGTTTTTGGAACGACTGTGTCCAAAACCTTATATAACTCTGAATAAAATAAATCAACAGGAATATCAACCTCATTCAATTGAGATAATGGCGTCCAGTCAATATTTCGAATAGATTGAGTCAATCTGTAAAAATCACATGATTGAAAATTATAATATTTTACTGATTTTGTATCACAAGTTTTTCTAATGATCTCATCTGTAGCGAATATTTCAATATACAAGGTAGGATGGTTAATATCCTCCTCTAAAAGCGGAAAGTCCGACTTACAATTTCCTTACAGTTCTCAAAATCATTAATTTCCAGGAAATCAAAAAAAATTTATGTTTCTCATCCATATTTTCGTGTTCTAGATTTGGTAAGTTAAAGTCGCCAAAGACATATACATTTCTCCCGTCATATATTGTTTTTTCGAAATATTCCAAGTAATTTTTGTAATCTTCACAACTCAAATTTAGGTGGTAGGTAAACAGCAAATAAAGTACCTAATTGTATGTAATTTTTTAAATTTTATTATAACCCAGAGCGTCTCATATGTACCATCTTTCATTCCCCAGTTCAAGACCTTGAAGTCTCTATTCACCCCGATCATTACCCCACCCCCTTTTCCTGATAATCGCGAGTTTTTGTCACATCGTAAAATTGTACACCTTTCCAAATTTAGTGATTCCGAATCAAAAAATTTATCATTCAGCCAAATTTCTGTACCAATGATTATGTCATACATTTTCCCTTCAATAATCATTTTCAAGTCTCCCAACTTTGTTCTCAAACCCCTAAAGTTTTGGTAGTAACATTTATTATTGTTCATTATGAAGGTGAGCGTTTTGAATTAATTAAATTCTCTAACAAAAATGTCAAAGTAACAAAAGATATAATAAATCCAGTAACAATTCAGATTAGCCAAAAAGAATAGAAAAATAAAAAAAATATCTATTGAACAATGCTACAATATAGGTGCATGTGTTCCTAAGTTGTCGACTACATCATATATCACTTACACTCCTGATAAATTTTTTAACCCCGTTAATTTTCACAAATATTTCTCCATTTGATGTCCAAACATTCCTGAATGTATATTTTGTATTAGCAGCCTTCAAAATATTCAGTTTCCATTTACCCAAATCATCCCTGATAACTACGCCGCTGGATTTCAGCAACTTCCTATTTTCAATAACTTTTTGTTAGTCCCTCATGTTGAAAAAACGGACCAATATTGCCCGTGGTTTTGTATACCATTCTTATCTTGTTCATTAGGAGAACGTCCAACTCGATAGCAAAATTCTGTATTGTTATTTACATTAATTTTCACCTTCAAAGTTTTGTTAAACAGATTGCTAACTACCTCAATATTTTCTTCTTGCAATTCTTCTATGCCAAATATGCGAATGGAATGGTTTTTGTAACTCTGATCATTCTCCATATTCTCCATTCTACATGGATATTTTGTTAAAATTTGACTTTACTAATATCAATATAATATCAGATACAAATATATTTTTTTCAAATGAAAAAAAAAAATAGCAATTATCCATCTATCACTGAAATTTGTCGCTGCATTTTGAACAATGTAATCAATTGATATTTTTTCACTTACAACTTCCACAATACTTTATGTAAAATTGGTTTTTACGTAATTCTCATCATAAGATCCTGTATCCGGAAAAAGTGAATTCATTATCATCATTATTATATTTATTGAAAAGCAATATTGTAATCATCAGTGAGTTTCGTGAATCCCACTCAAATCCTGTCATTCATTTGGTCATAAACATTTTTAAAATTTCATAGAATAATCGTGATTCCGTTCATAACTACCTGATTTTCAGAAATGATTTTCATTTCTGAGATAATCTTCTCGCGTACCGCCCATTTTCATTCCGACCACCACGTTACAATATGACGAATGAATAAAAATGCAAATCGGAGATTTCGCTTCCACGGTCCCAATTCTTCAATTTCTGTGTTCCGTAATGAATGATTGTGGCGTGATGATGCAAATTCCCTGAAACCAAGCCCGAGTTCCACCCAGAAACCTAATGTCTATCGATCATTTACTTTTATTCGAGTTGATGATTCGGACTGGAATGATTTGGAAATCTGAATTTGTCAGATGAATAATTTATATCCAGTCAAGAGATGTAATTGCGGAAGTCACTTCCATCAAGGGGATGGAAAAGGCGAAAGTGAAGTAAAACTTGGATTTTCAGGATGGAAAATTATTGGTTGAAATTACTCAGTCTTTCCCTTCCCATTTTCCTAATCTGTTACAACATTTGATGAAACAAGTATGTGACTACGAAATATGTCACTATTTCAGCTGTCTCAAAAAGCTCAGCTCATTGCTTGGAGCTGTAGTTTCCATAAATACAAAACCCAAAACTATTCTCGAAAAGTTCCGACATGAATCAAGTCGAGTATTCATGAAACAAGCCTGGGTAGCGAATTGTATCCAGTCAAATTAGTTCACAAAACTCTTCCACTTGCTTCAGGTGATATTTTCGCTGAGCAAAAGTAAACCATTCAAAAAGAGAAGAAGAAATCACCATGGGCACAATTGCTATTGAAATTTGTGCACATAACATATATTGTGGAATTGAGCATAATGTTAGCTCTATTGCTCTGAGAGGTCTGAAAATGGATTGAGATCGTGAAGCTGGCCGTGGTATATTGAAGTTAATTTGTTCAAGAATTTCAGGACAGTCAACTCTCTCATTCACTAACTTGATATAAATATGAGCGACGCACATTTCCTGCGATGCTCTAAACAAACGTTCATATATGACATCATTACTGATACCTCTCTCAAGGTAAGAACCATCTATTCTGAATATTAGAAATTTTCAAAACTTTCTATGAACTCTCTCATTTACAAAACATTCACAAAAGTCCGACAGGAATTCGAGAATAGATTGTACTTTTGCTTAGCTACCAATAGTGAACATTTTGAACACCTAATAAAGCAAGGTGCACTTATTTAATTGCTATAGCCATTATTTCATTTTTTATTATAATTAATTTCCTTATTGCCTTATTTTATAAGAACGGATCAACCAATTTCAGTTTTCTAAACGGGGTTGAGCGGGGATTTTTAAGATCTTTGAAATGATGTGTTACAAGATATGGGTGCCATTTGAAATTATTAAGTGGGGGTAGCTAGGGGTAAGGGGGTTGAACCTAAAATACCACTGGTACCGGTTTCAAACTTCCCCATCGATATCTAAATTGATGTATTTTTTGCCTACGGTATATATAGGCAATGTATAGCCATATAGGCAATGTATAGCCATATAGGCAATGTATAGCCATATAGGCAATGTATAGCCATATGGCTATACATTGCCTATATACAAAAGGAGAAAGAGAGCTGAAGAGGTAGGAGTGGCAGCAACTGTAAGTGCACCCTCCTCCTTCCCCCTCCACCTTCAACAGCAAGGGCACTTTCTGCGACGGGCGCCAAAATCTCCGCCTTGATTAAAGGCAAGGAACCAGCTGTCCCTGCAGGAAAGCGCCCTCACTTGAACACCTCCGTTAGGCGAACCCCAGGAAGGTTGAAGAAGCCGGGCAACGACACTAATGTCGCTGCATTTTCCAAAACCTTTGCGGACGCCGCCGTGAGATACCTCAAGGTTGCCAAAGAGAGTGTGTGTTCGGCGAGTCTTGGCCTACATCTGCCGATATAAAGGAGATGTTTCCTAGTGACCTGTCCAACTACCTGGAAAGGAAAGGATGGACAGGAGGACAACTCTTCGGGAGGATGTACAATGGGTCACATGTGGCTTAAGTGGTGTGGGTATACACTCACCCTCCCTACTATATACGACCCATATCTACGGTACCTTATGTTGAAATTTCTGCCAGTCTGGCCTCTATAAGCTGCTGAACAGTCACCATATTCTAGTCTGTATATGCATGAGTTTTACCACGTATTCCTCTTGGGTGTTGAGTTAAATAACATGTTCCCTGAATTGTTTTTGATAGTAAATGACGTTTATGATGCACTGTTTGGAACCTTTTGTGTTGTAATGAATATTACTGGAGTTTTTTCCCAACACCAAATCGTTATTTTCAACACCTCGACAAGTGTTTCGATCACCAAGTGATCATCTTCAAAGAGGAAAATTGAAACTATAAAATAATGCGAGCTAACTCTATTTATGCTATAAAGGTAACCCATACAGGTAAACCATCCAGGCGTACCAACCATACAGGTATACCAACCTAAATTAATTTAGGCGTATTCATGTTTATTTCTGAGAACTAGTTTTTTATGTTTTTGGAGAGGTTTTCCAGATAGCTCATTCTGGCATATTCCTCAACTCCTTCTAGATTTATATACAGTTAGTTCATGATCAGTATTTGGTTTCTAGTGGAGATAATTTTCTCAATTGAGTTGACTGAAATGTTGTTATCAGATGCTACCAGCTTTAGCACAATCATTTCTTTTTGGAAAGCCTTCTCTGATGACGAAGTCATGAATGGTTTATGCATCATTGCTCTGAATGCAGATTATTCATGTAATAATGGGGTGAAAGACCTCACTCTACATACGTGCAGGGAAGGAAGAAAGATGAATTTGTTGGTCAATGACCAACTAGGACTATGCATCTCTCTCTTTTCGAATTTGTGAATTTTGACAACTAGTTTAGTATCTATTAGTATCCAGAGAAATCTACAAATAATATTTCTGGATCACTAGTCGGTGATTTTGATGTTATGATTGTTCTGGTATCTAGACTTTTTACCCATCCTATATTCAAAAGTTATTAAGATCTAAATATTTGAGTTGCTCAATTGTTAAGACAGTATGTTTGATGTGGTGTGGAATTTGTTTGTCAATGGACTCCAAATAGTAGCAGAATTTTGGCTGCATTCTTTCAAGACTGTACAATTTTCACCTACCAGCATATGAAATATAAAGTAACTGGACTATTGAGTTCTTGAAAAGTTGTTAGTTCAACTTCAGTTCGACCCACACAACAGCTCCGTCATTCCACATGACAAAACCTCATTCACTTCTGTCAAAGTTAATAGCCTCAAATCTAATCCCCGACTCGCCCAATAATCGCCATTTCTCACTTCACCGGCCACTCAGCAGAATTCTCCTCTTTTCCAGGCCGACGACGATTTCATAATCGAATTCCGAGTGGAGCAGTTCCACCTAACTTGCGGTTCTCAATGGCTGAAAATACGGGACGGCAATGCGTTGTCGTCCAATTTGCTGGCTGATTTATCCGGAGATCCCGACACCACGCCATCGATAGTCAATTCGACGGGGCCAAATTTGCTGCTCGAGTTCTTCGCCGATGAGATTTCGACAGAAGGACACATTTGTGCGGGGGGATTCGTGGCTCACGCCACTCAGATGAGTAAGTAACTTGGGAAGGAGTATTTATGTGATATGATCGGATTAACTTTCTGAAAAACTACGAAGCCACGTATTACTTTCAATTATTCACCATTCGAACCATCGATTGGCCATAATCGACAATTCAAATTGTTGATGATACAGTTGATACAGTTTAAACAGTAGATTATTACTAACTGACAGTTTGGACAATTGATTAGACAGAAGCTATAATTCAAACAGTCGATATCTATAATCAACAATGGGCTTGTTTTATGATTTTTAGTTTATAGTTCTCTTGATAGAAATTTCAAATTGAAAAACAATGCACTTTGTTTCAGCTCTCTAAGTACCATAGTTTTCCCGTGAGTAGTTATTAAAAATCGAATGTGGTAGGGCAGTGACGTCACGGGCCTATTCCCGCTTCTTGTTCGATTGACCAATAGGAACAATAGAAATAATAAACATTGCCAAATCGTAAAATCTACGAAGCCTATAATTATCAATTCGAATATGGAAGTGTATATGAACCCGTTAACGTTTCAATTGATGTAAAATATTTTCCACATGGAACTGATCTAACGAAAGCATCTGAGGTAATACCATCAGTCCTATAATTTAATTAAGTGAAATGTATCATACTTTCAGCAACAGTATCAACTCCAGATAATACTTTCTGTGGAGAATACTTGAAATTTAAATAAAAAACTGTGTCATCAAATTCAATGTCACTTCTTAAATGATTTCGATAAAGTCTTGAAAGAGTAGAAGGATTGTAGTTCTTTTTTTTCAATAGTTTCACCAATTTTATTCTCATAATTTTATCCTTTGCGAACCTTAACTCATTATATGAAATAACTCATCTATAAACCAATGCGCTTTATGTTTTCTTCTGGCTTTCCAAATAATTAAAATCAGCACAAGAATACACCATATTAATATTCAAATACATCTCTGAAACACTTTTAAAACACACACAAACTAAACTTGAAAAAACGAATTGTTCCTACCCGAGCTGTCAGCTAAGAAAAAGTTGAAACTCAATGTTGTAAAAGCACGCAGAATGGATCCGATATAACATACATTTTCAATGCCGAATAAAGCAATAAATTGTGATATGTTTACTCCATTTTCCTGAGAAAATGAATGATCAATCAAAATTTCTTGTAATTATTCATTCATTTTTGTTAGTAATGACGCCAGCAAACAAATAAATATACAATAATAAGTTCGGTCGAATCCAGGAAGAATGGACAATAATATTTGCTATCATAACTGGTATAGTACAAGTTTTATCTAAATATGATTCTAAATAGAATTCAACGATCTGTATTTTCAAATGGTTTTCGAATGTTCATGAACCCTAATAAAATAAATCAATTATGCATTCACGCCCCCCACCAAAAATAAAAAATTCAACGTTACTGGTATATTAGCCATATTGTCATCCAGTCAGCTATCGCCCTCTGTAGTGTATGTGACAATGTGCTCTTTCTAATGTCAATGGTTTCCACAAACTTCGTATTTTTGTTCAAATAATTTCAAAATGAATGTTGAGTCTGGTTTTGTTAAAGCTGACTCCGACAACTTACCAAGAGTCGATTTTGAAGTGATCGAATGAATTTCACTTGAAAAATTTGCAATATGTTGGTACCGAAATGAAGAATGAAAAATTGAAACGTTAGGTGGTATATTTAGTAGGTCCCTTATATTTATATGACATTCATTTCAGACTTTGTATTTTGTCGAAGGATTGAAAGTTTTTATATAATTTTTATTTCAACTCGGCCAAGGTAGTACTGGTAAAATTCAATCCATAACCTGAAAAAATATTTTTCGGAATGTAAACTGATGACACGGAATATGCAGCAAAATAGGCATCCGTCGAGAGCTACCTTTCACAAAAATAAAGTTCTTTAATTAGATAATTGTAACAGTTGTTTTCACACCGAGTTGACAACAATAACAACCAAAATGGCGTCTGATACGACCAATTTCATTGGTCAACAGACACGAGGCCAATTTAAATTCTTGCTTTTCGAATTGTTTTTTTTTCTGCAAATATAAAGAGACCCTGGGATCGATTGGGCTTTATAAGTATAATATACCCCTAACTCAATCAGTCTATAAGCAAACCAGTATCATTTTCCATAGCATGAAACAAGCCCATCCAAACTATCGATTATCCATAATCGACAATTCAAATTATCGATTTGATGTAATGGGTAGTTCAAATGGTCGAATAGGAGCAATTGGCAGATTTAACTCTTCTGTTATACATAATCGACTGTTGAAACAGTCGAATATAACTAACTGACAGTTTGAGTTGTCTTTTACTGATATTGGATAGTTTTATCTGTGAATCGAACAGTCTATTATCTATAAATAACAATTCAATCTATCTGTTATTTATGATCGGCAGTCCGAATAGTGGAATATGGCAAATTCACAGATTGTACTCGTCTATTACAGATGACTAACAGTTCAAACAGTTGAATTTGACTAACTGATGATTAGATCTGTCTATTACAGATATACCGGAGTTTAAATCTATGATTAGAAATTATTCACATTCGAATAATATCTATAATCAACATTTCAAATTGTCGAATAAATATGACAACAATCCAAATAGTCGGATATGTCCAACTGACAGTTCAAACTATCTATTACTGATATATGACTGATATACGAATGGTATTTCATTATCTATGATTATGAATTCAAGCTGTCGATTATATATGATCATAGTCAAATATGGCTGATTTGCAGATTGAACTTTTATAGTATAGATAATAGACAGTTCAACAGTTCTATGTGACGGTTTCATTCGTTCATTAGAGATATTCTACAGTTAAAACAGTAAATGAGACAAAATCTACAGTTTGAACAGTCTATTATCAACGATTCAAACTGTTGAATTCAATCAACAGTTCAAATAGTCGTGTATGACCAACTGACAGATTCAACTTTTTTGTCAAGCTGAATCTAGACAATCGATTGTTTAAACAGTTGAATATGACTAACTGACATTTTGAATTGTCTATTGCTGATATTCGAGAGTTCAAACTGTTGATGAGACATAAGCTACAATTCAGTATGCATTATCTATAATTGACAATTCTAATTTCACCGAAAACTCAGGATCGGCAGTCCGAATAGTAGAATAACCCTAATATTCATATTAAACTCTTCAAATATAGATAATTGACAGTTCAAACTGTTGAGTATGATCAACAGTTTGAACTGTCTTTAATAGATAGTCTGGAGTTTGAACTGTTGACTAGAAATATGTTTATAATTTAACATTCTGAACTGTCGATTGAATGTAATAGTAAATGTAAATAGTGGAATATGTCCAGTTGACAGATTGAACTTGTCTATTATAGATAATCGACAGCACAAAATGTCGAATATGACTAACTGACAGTTTGAACTGTTCATGTTTGATATTATACAAGTGGAACTATTGATTTTACATAATCTACAATCCAAACTGGCGATTAAATATGATATTCGACTGATTGAACTGTCGATAATCTGTAATAAAGAATGGCAGATAGAACTTCTTTATTACAGATTATCGACAGTTCAATCAGTCGAATATGATTCAAAGTATGAATTGTCTATTGCTGATATTCAGATGTTTGAACTGTTGATCAGACATAAACTACGCTCCGACAGTTCGTACTGTTCATTACTGATATTAGACAAATTGAACTGTTGATTACACATAATCTACAATTCGAATAGTAGATTATCTATAATTGACAATTCAAACTGTCGATTATATATGGTTGACAGTCTGAATAGTCAAATATGGCTAATTCGCAGATTGAACTTGTCTATTATAGACAATCGACAGTGCAAAAAGTTGAATATTACCAACTGACAATTTGAAATATCTATCACAACATGTTTCGCTAAACATTAGCTGTGAAATATCACCTCATTTCCATCTCTTATGATGACATGCAGATCACTGTTCTTCCCAAGACATCACATAAATGATAAAAAAATTTGAATGATAGTTTGTGTTCCGTCTTCACCAGTTTTTTTTTATTAGCCATGATTGAGAATTGATCGATGTTAGAATATAAAGAATTTCCACTAGTTTGTGAGAGAGGTTTGTATATTCGAGAGCACCCCGTATATATACCCATCTGTTTTCAAAATATGAAAACATCAGATATTGGAAATACATAAAATTTCAATTTTTATAAGTCTACTAAATAATGTACCTACACTCCTGGTATATTCAAAGATTTACGAACCAATAAAGAAAGTTTCCAGCAAACCCAGACAAAAAAGTTTCAAGAAACAAATCGTCGATAAGGAATAAATTGTTTTTTATTGGAAGTAATAATGAATTGAATCAAATGAACTAATTACGAATATAACAAAACTCAAGAACGCTGTTCAAAAAATACGTAACTTAAGGTATGTGATATGATCATAAATGAGAGGCAAAAAATATGAGATTTGAGGTACGAGAAGCAATAACGCAATAACAATATTACGTATTATTTTATAGAAAATATAGATAGCGAGGGTTGTCACATTTCAGTACGAAATAACCATCATAATGAACGGGATGAACTATGTATTCGTCTATAATATATTTAAAATTAATTTCAAAATTCCTTGAGCACTTCTTCAAATCACATAAGAAGATCCGGCTCGAAGGACCAAAAACTTGTAGCTCCATTAGATAAGGGGACTGTAGTTTAACAAAGGATTGTATGATTTGAGGAAGTTCCCAATAGAATTTTGTTCAGCACACAAAAAAAGGAGCGAGAGAGATTACGTGGCTGTGGTTCTCACCTGAGTGTATGTCGGCTCTAGTAGCGGCTTGTGGAGAGATTTCTGGTTCCAGGGGGATGATCGTAAGAACCCGTTGGATCACACAACACTAGCTGGCCAGCAACTTTCTTAATTAATTGAGTAGGTTGTCGAATCACCTGAGATGATTTCTGTAGCCAGTCTATGAATCGAATCCCTGTTGTTCTGCGGCTGTTTCAGCGACCGATCAAATATATTGATACGAGGAGCGCTCCATATATTTAATCGGAATATGAAACACAGCCGAACTTCGCGTTAAATACAAATTTTGTAAATTGAGTGAAAATCATCAGTAGACGAATATACAAAGAGAAAAAAATAAAAATAAGAAAACTGGTGAAGACGGAACAGTTTGTTAATATATGTAACTTGTCATCCGCTTATGATCATAGGAATTGCAAAAGTGAACATTTCCGGAGTTCCAGTAGCCCAAAGCGTCGGAGTAATTCCAAATGTTGTTCTGAAATTGACAGCTGTCCATATTGCTGCCATATTCTTTCTCAGCGGATTGCTGATCGCCACTGCCTTACTAGGAGCCCAGTATATTTTCCGATACCGAAAATACCACGTTGCCAGAGCTGAAGATCAAGATTCTTTAGCGGATCCTTCAGGTAAGGTATCTTGTTTTGGTCTATCCATGGGCAAATTTTTTCAATTGATTGTTCGATTTTAGTAGATTCAACTTTTTTCAATTGATGAATTTCGTTTAATGATTCTAACGATATATTTTTCCACGCGCCAGGATGTAAAATTTTCGTGATCCCATTCTGTTATTTTCATTTAACGGTATTCAGATGACAATTGAGAAGTTGATGTTAACAGTATCCGCCCGTTGAGATTTTTCAACGGCCGGCGGCCGTTTAAGAAATCACTTTGAGGATGGAAAATTATTTTTTCGAAAAAATTGTTTTCAGGTGATTCTATACAGAGAATTTCTCTTTGGATTGGTTTTCGATATCAAAAAATCATTATTGGTTCACCTCGTTTCAAAAGACAACGTTCATATTATTCACTACACGAAAATTTTTGGAACTCATTCAGATATTTCATGATTTTTTGTATAAGTACCTGTATGCATTGTTTTCAAAATATACAATTTTTGATTACGATTTCATTAATATCACCCAAAAGTTATCTCTTTGTATGTTCATCTAGGTCAAATTACAAAATACAGTTTTATCTCTCTCTCTCTCTCTCTCTTTGATTATCGAGGTTATTCCAGCGAATTGTATCGATCTGTATCTGGCCTGTTTGATTTATGAATAACAATTTTTGAGGAATTTAATTTCAGAAGTGGATCGAACACAATGAGTCGAATGTTTCAGGAATTTCATTATTGAAGACTGCATCTCGCTTTGATATCAATAATGATTTCGAAAGTTCATGGAGAGAAAGCGAAGTGAATTGGAAAGTTGAAATGAACAAACGAGTGATCTGAACTATTTCATTAGATGAGATTTTATCTTCTTGTGGAGATGAACAAGGACTGTGGAAATTTTTCTATTGATATTTCTTGAAATTGTCTCCTTCCACTGCTGCAAATAATTAAAATTGTAACACAGAACTTCTTACATGAAAGGACAAACGTCTAATTTACCTCGATAGGTTTTTGCCTGAATACGATGTATTTTTCACGAAGCTCATAGTTTTTATATGAAAAAATGACATTTGTCTATTGAAGAAAATTTCCAGAATGTGTTGGGAGTGGTGCCTTTGCAAAATCTTGAAAACCGGTTTGGAGTAGTTTCTTTTGTTTCCAAAAGAAATTTTTTGAAAGCTCTAGGTATTTGAGATCAAATTTGAAAGCAAAAGGCATCTAAAACAACTCGTCCTCAAGTAAACTGAATGTGGTAAATCAGTTGAACACTCTACGTGAAATTATGAACAGTTAGCATCATATAGAATTTTTTATTTATGGTTTATTTCAAAACTTGACTGACGCATCCTTTTTTGCTCAAATCGAAATGGAAAATAGCCATCTGTCGTATTTTTCAATACAAAAATGGGGTTTCTCCTCGAAAAAATATCAAAATTAATTTCTACATACAATTTTCAGCCATAATCAGAACTTTCAACTATATGAATTAGTTTCGATTGTTATTAACGCCTGTTACAATTTCCACCTACATGTGAATTATTGTTAGCTCAATACTTTTTTTAGCTTGTTCTGAATTGATTAAAATTTAGTGTCAATCAGAAAAACCTTCAAAAAAATGTAAACCCTTTCCTACAGATTAAAATCCCGTTATATTACCGAACAGTCTAATTTATTTTTCGCATCATAATTAGCAGTCACGAGCTGTAGAAAACATTTAGAGAATACATAATTAAACGAAAACAAACGAGTCTTAATCTAGATTGAGACAGCAGAAAGGAAGATTTAGAATTCCCGTTTGTGTTTCAGCACTGGCTGGAGAATTTTTTATCTCGCACTAATGGAACGAGTTCTTGCATTTCAGTTGGAACTGTAAATAATAGGATTTGAATGATGATTACGTCGTGATATGAATATGGCTTTGTTCTTGTTTTCTTCTTCAGTCTTCAGTCTTCAGTCTTCAGTTTTCAGTCTTTCGAACGCTGTGCCTACTATATTGGGCAGGGTGGTTTTCCATGCATTTTTTCATGAAAACTGATAGCAGGGTCCGATTAACAACATGAATTGATTGACGGGGACCTCAAAATAACAAAACCAGTGATAGACTCAAATTAATAGAAACATGGTGTAAGGAACACTTACTGTCGATCAATTCCAAGAAGACTGAGATGGTCCTTTTCATCAGGACAAGAAGTTTATCGGCTTTAAAACCTTCCGAAGTAAGCTTCACTAAAGAGGTGGAATACCTTGGTAATATCTTTGACAGCAAGCTAGCATGGAACTCTTACTTACAGAGTAGAGCAAAAAAACATGTGGGGCTTATGAGCAATGTCGGAGTACAGAGGGACGCGCATGGGGTCTTTCACCCCGTGTGGTCACCTGGATCTACACTGCAATAATAAGACCTATGTTAACGCACGGAGCCATTGCATGGGGACCGAAAGTTCTAGAAGCAACTGCCATCCAAAAATTATATCAAATACAGCGATTTGCTTGTTTAAACATCACAGGAGCCATGAGAACAACACCAACTGCGGCAATGGAATTAATTACTGGTCTGACCCCTCTGGACCTGTACGTTAAGGAGGCTGCGTTAATGGCCATGTTACGATTGCGCACAGCTGGTGTAAACCTCGAAGTAGGAATGGGTCAATTGAGGCTGAGCCTATGGCGAGAAGCGCTTACTGCGCAACCTCTGCTGCAGGCAACCAGTGATGCAAACGAACCCAGATTTGTGTTTAATAAACCCTACAAAATACAAATAAAACAGAACACGAAGTCAGATGCAACAAATACACTACGCATATATACATACGGCTCAAAAACCAAACAAGGCTCAGGATGTGGAGTGTACTCCAGATCACTAAGTCTAAGGATTAAGTAGTCCAAACAGAACTGGCTGGTATCTCAATCGCCACAAAAGAAATAACCAAGAAAGGAATTTCTGGCAAAAACATAACAATCTGCACTGATAGCAGACAAGCCCTATTAGTTTTGAACAGACAACGTGTTACCTCAGAGCTAGTAAGAGTACCACCAAGATTTAGCCAAAGCCTCGGTAGATAATAACATTATCCTGGGGTGGGTTAAATGGCACGACAGGAGTAAAGATAATCCCATTGCCGACCCTTTAGCCAAGAAAGCGGCTGGACTAAGAATTTCAGGACCCAGTGGCACCTACGGCCTGATGTCATACCCATGCTCAATCCCTAACGAGATAGGATGAAATCAAAGGATGCAATCTTGCCAGGATCACCCTGGGCGACCCTAAGGAGCTGGCGCCGAAGAAATATCTGGCGATGACCAGGAAAAATCTACGCTTAACAGTAGGATTTCTGACTGGCCACTGTCAACTGAAGAAACACCTTCGTAATATGGGGCTGGTGGACACACCTCTATGCAGGATGTATGAACAGGAAAATGAAACTGTCAGGCATGTCCTATGCGAGTGTCCGGAATTATCGTCAATAAGAGAGTGTGTGTTTGGCGAGTCTTGGCCTACACCTGCCAATATGAAGAAGATGTCTCCCTGTGACCTGGGAGGACAACTCTTCGGAAGGATGAACAATGGGTCACATGTGGCCTAAGTGCTGTAGGCCTACACTCACGCTCTCTACTCTACAGACACACAAAATCAATATAATGAGCTTTAGAGCACGTGTGAAATAAGAGTGTATCCCCACTTTGAGAATCCAGCATTATCATTTACATTTTTTTGACGAATCCTGTAAAAATACTCCATATTTTCCGAAGCTTCGAATGCTGTGTGGAAAGTTTGATAAATATTCAGAGTAAAAATTCAATGGGGTCCCAAAAACACAACATTTCATTCACAGAGGAGTGAAACTGAGTGACACAGCTGACGATGTTAACATGGCACTTCAATCTTGAATGTTATTTACATTTGGAAGTAAACTGATAGGGCAAGATTTTTTGACATTATGGTCCATGAATTCAAGATATGGTCAAAATACGAGTGACAAATCACGATTCTTGCTCTATTCTTCGACATATGTGCAAAGTTGGTGTCAATATTGATTCTCGCATCTAGAGTTTTTGACAAAACAAGAGCAAATCGGTTCAAACACCAGGGCCTAAGTATAATGCTATAAGAACTAGTAGTTTGACTGTATCTTTTGACGTTTCTCTCTCACAGTTTTACTACTGCGCATCCATAAATCACTTGCCACGAGTGGATTTATCATACACTACTCAACTAGTGAGTACTAAATATAAACTGCTCAGCAGTTGAACAAATTTCATGGGAAATTGAATGGGTGTTTTGTAGTGACAGAGAATATTATGAAACGCTTGAAATTTTTGATTCGACTTGTTTGGTTCAAATTTTGCAATTGATTTGGAAATAAGTTACCGATGACCTATAGGAACTTGCAACTTCAAACCTAGCTCAGAACTGGTTGAAAATGCACCATTTTTTCATTTTGTATAAATAGTATAAAACGTATAAAATCTAACAAAGTTTGGAAAGCGTGTCGAAAACTTTCAGACGAATGAAAAGAATTGGTTTGCTTGTTCAACCCAACCAGTACTGGAACACACATGTACGCAGGAGGCTGATCTCAACCAAATGAAGGAAAATACTTTCTGCTGCGTTCTTTTGTCGAATGAACCATATTTTCGTAATCGTTGATGAAGTCGAGCAAATATTCTATGTGAAGGATGCTGCCGTTGAGGATACATTTCAGCATATCTTCTAGAAGCTTCTAACCCATTCCCCTGCGACAGACCGTAAACGTAAGGCATATCAGTCATTTCCTCATTTGTGTATGCCATTTTAATAACAAGTGAATTATTGGAGTAACAAATTAAGAACAGAACAACAACACACAATTAGTATTAATTCAATTTCGAAAATTCACAAACTGACAGCGTCATACCAATTTAATTGGCACTATCGCTAAATAGACCTACTAGATATATCAGTTTCGTATTTTCGCATTTATGACGATGTATCTCTGTAGTTGTTCGTACAATAATTTTTTGCTGCGAACTGGT